TAATGGGAAGTTTCCCTGAAGGGTGCGACCATGCACCCGATCGCAGCGGAACAGCTACGCGGCGAAAATCATTGAACGTGCATCCGCGTTTCGGGCCTCCTTGGCGTTGGCGACGCTTCTGACTAGACGTGCTGAGTGAAATGGGTTGCTGAGGGCAACCACGGCCCATAATGCTTGACTGCGGACCATGCGGGTTCAGCACGCTGGGCACAATCGCGCCATGGAATGTTGCTTTCGAGGCCACTACCACGAACCAGGAGTTCTGGCAGGATGAGTCCTTCACTTTGGCCGGCGAGAAGCGGTAGGCACCGTCGCTCCGCATTGCGGGGCAGCGCAGAAGCCGTGAGCGGACCCGCGCCTGGCGAAGCAGCACCCCGACGGTCAGTGGAAGTTGGCCGTCGACGGGAGAGGTTGCTGCTTCCGGCGTGAGCGCGATGGGGCCAGAAAGGGCAACAAAGCCGGTAAAAAGGAGGCAGCACAGGAGCGGCGCCCATGTGTGGTGTTGGAAGGTTGGGCGGCAACAGCAATGGTTTGAGTATGCTGCTGGCGCGGGCGCTCACAATGACGCCCTGGATGACTGGGCAACGGCTGGGCCTCAGCGGATATGCCAGGCGGCCATGCCCTTGTCCTGAAGAAGATTGATTGCATGCGCGTGCAAGCAAGACACGTCGCAGCGGCCGCGGCGCGGTCTCGGCGCCGCAACGGCGGCCCCCGAGCACAGCAGCCAGCGCTCATCGCAGGCGGCAGACAGGCTTGCGCGCGCGCGCCGCTGGGCAGGCGCGGCCGCGCGGCCCCAGCGCAGGCCCAGCGGGAAACGCTTCGCCGTGCCAAGCAGAAGCCGCGCGGCGTCCAGGTGTCTCTGCTTGTTCTTGGTTTAGTATCCAGAGGCGGAATAGAGCCCAACCGCAGCGGCTCGCGGCGGCAACCCCAGCCAAGGTCCCCGGGGCAAGCGGAGACACGAGAGTCGTCAGGGTGGCGGTGGAATTCGCGCGCTTCAACTATTCCGAACGATGCCGGCGGGAGTTCGCAGGGATCGCGCTAGATGGATCCATGGCGCGCTGCGCACCGACATTTGTGCCGCGCGGACGGAGGCGCGTGGGCATTCCGCCTGACACGCCGACGAAGCAAGTGGCCGCGCCTAACCCATGCCATGTGCACACTCGCGACGGCGGCTTACGACCACCAGCGTTCCACCATCGCGCATCGGGCGGACGCCAGCATACATTGGCATGGCTATATTTCTGGGCACGCAGCGATGCCAGCGTGACCTGTGCTGCGTCGGCTGCACGCACATCGCGCCCACAGGCTCCCAGGTCATCTTCCTCGCTGAGCTCTCGCGGGTCTGCCTGCCCACCCTCCACGCTCGCGCTGGACGGCAAGATACCAGCGGCGGGCAACGCGTCAGTCGCTGCGCCTTGCCTGTGGAGCCGTCAGAGGATCTGTGAGGCAATGGTCGGTGCGCGCGAGGCGGGTGGCCGAGCTCTCCCAGAGCCGCAAGGACGCCCTGACGCACAGCACGTTAATGATTCGCCTATTAGCGTCATGCGGGCGCCGGAGCTCTCCCTGCAGCACGCTCCCGGCCGGCGCCCTGGCGGCGCGCGGCTTCGTCGTGCAGTTGGCAGATTGGCATCAGTTTGAAGGAAGCCTGTCAGTATGATCTTCACTGGGCGGGGATCTCGCGGAGGATGCGGGGATCAGTTGGGCCAAGGGGGGTTGCAGCAATTTCGGCCCCCAGGGGATTGTTACAATAACGGTTGGCGCGAAAATGGCGGCATGGCACATTTTGAAAACATCTTCATATTCCGAGTGGCACGGGGGAAATTTTTATTTTAGCATTTCGAATTCTAAAGGCGGAAACCTACCATTTTGGTTTGAAACTTGTGCTTTTGATCCGATAAGCCATTCCGCCATTGCTTTCCCACGACGGCGAAGCTGAAGGGGGGATTGTAGCAATTTCGGTCCCCAGGGGATTGTTGCAATTTCGGCCGCCATTCTCGTCGTCGCTATCCCTAGCCGCTGGCTCGAGCCTAGGCGAAATTGTTGACGCTTCGCGTATCCCCACCAGCCCATCCAGAAACGATGCTCAGGGGAGTTGAGGTGATCAGGGAAGTCGGGGAGCATGCAGAATAACAAAGGGCGGGGGAAGCTGTCACAGACCCCGAGAGGGGGAGGATGGAAGAGGAGTCGTCGTCGTCGTCGTCGTCGGAGGAGGAGGAGGAGGAGGAGGAGGGGGAAGAGGAGGAGGAGGAGGAGGAGGAGGAGGACGGAGAAGGAGGAAGAATCGGAGGAGGAGGAGGAGGAGGGGAAGGAGCTTCTTGGGGGTCTTTTGAGGGCCTCTTGGAGGGCTTTTTGGGCGCCTTGGGGCATCTTGGGCGCCTCTTGGGACCCTCTTGAGGCGCTCTGGGGAGCCTTCGGGGCGCTTTTGGGGCCATCTTGGAGGGAGTCGATCAAACAAGAGGGGGGGTTTAATTAGCGCCCCCCCTCGGAAGCCCCTAAAATCGCCTCTTGGACCCCTCTTGGAACGCTCTTGGAGTGCTCTTGGGCGCTCTTGGGGCCGTCTTGGGGCTCTTTTGGGGCTCTCTTGGGGCCCTCTTGGGCCATCTTGGAGCCATCTCCAGGCCTCGGATGGCCATCGGAAGCGAAAAGGCGAGAAAGCAAAAATCATTGATTTTCCTTAGGTTTTGGGACGATTTTGGCCTCTTCGGGGCCTCCTTGGGGAGCTGTTTGGCCACTTGGAGTTATCTTGGGGCCGTCTTTGGGCTTCTTGGAACCATCTTAGGAGCCATCGTGAGCGATCTTGCGCTATCTTGAGCCATCTTGGAGCTCATCTTGGGTTCTCTGAGGCGCTCTTGGAGCCGTCTTGGGCCATCTTGGACGCTCTAACTACCCGCGGCCCCCCCCGTCCAGGTCCAGGGGAGGGGGTAGGGGGAGGGGTAAACCCCTCCCCAAGGGGGAAGAGGGAGGGGTGGAAGAGGATCTGCTCTAGACCACCTACGCCCAGAGGGCTGGTGGGATTTTCCCTGGGCCCACCCGCCCAGTTCCGTCGTCTGATGCGCTCGAGCTTGCGAGGCGTAAATCGTGTGACGCACGGGCCAGTATTTCATGGCACGTTCTGGATAATTGCGGTCCCGGGGCATCATGCCCACGGCGCCATCTGACCACGCAGCGGCATGGGGCATTGCAGTATGTGATGCATCACGCTGCGGCCCCCGTTGAGAATGACAGCCTGAAAGCGCGGGTGCTCCAATCTACGCATGCACCTCCCCAGGTGCACGCGCGGGGCGTCCCTGCGCATGTCCCGCACGGGCCCTGCGCTTATCGGGACTGGCCCTCCTCCTCGTTGCCAAAGACCTGCGTGGGGCTGGCGGTGGGTTTCCATTGGTCCACCCATATCTACTGACACTTGATGCCCACGCTCCGTCTATCCAGTCCTTCGTTCCATGTCCCTGCACCCACTCATTGCATTATCTCTGCTTCCTGTCCACGTTGGCCTCTTGTGGCGGACCTTCGGGATGAGGACAACGGCAGACACGATCCTATCTAGCCCCCGCGAAGATGGCCAGGTCTGCGCGGCGCATCGAGGGGATGCGCTCGCAGCGCTGGCCCAGCTAAGAGGACCCAAAGCAAAAGGCACGCTGGGAGGACTTGCGGCGGCCGCCTCCGCGGCCGCGCGCGCAGCCGGCGCGGCAATAGGCCTCTGCCCCAAAGCACGCACGTTCTGCGGGCAATAGTTTGGACGCCACCTTGCACGAGGCGCTCGTCGCAGCTGAAGGTGATTCTGAGATTTATGTACTGGGTTCGATCAAGTTGCCCAGGTCCTTGGAGATCGTCGAGCCCGCCCCAACATTCGCAAGTGTCTTCGTCGTTGTTGAAGAGGAGACAGCCCGCAACATGTGATAGCATGCTGACCCTGTCGTCTTGTTTGGCAGTTTTGGGTAGAATGCCAACCCGCGCCGCCGCCTCCGCCAACTCGCCGGCGGAGATCTAGACAGGCTATGCCGACCTTGGCCCGACATTCAAGCCATTTCGCCGCCTTCGTAAAAAGACGGTGCGCAAATCAAGGTCATATTCGTTCACGACTTCAGTTGGCCACGCGGCAGTCGCAGAATCCGCGCTCACGAGCTGATCGTTTTGCCAGAATTGTCCGCCGCCATGAGAGTGGCGCGTCGCATGTCAAGTTCCCAGCAGCTGGGCGGGAAGTCTAAGTACATGGTTGGGTTTCCGAGCATGTTCAAAGGTTCTGGTTCTAGCTGGGCGAAGCCGAACGCAGAATTGCCGCAAGGCAAAGTGTCAACAGCTATTTCGCTTACAATGTTTGCCAGCGTGGATCCCAAACACTGAGTTACTGCATTGTGCAAGTGCAAGCTATGTGGTGCAAGCTATGTTGTGTAGGCTTTGGGGTGTGAGCTATGTGGCGTAAGTTGTGCGAACTGCGTGGTGCAACCTAAGTTGTGTAAATCATGTTGTGGTGTGATCTGTGAAGTGTAATTGTGTGTAAGCTATGAGGTAAACGATACGTTGTACATTATACGTGGTGTGACCGAGGTGGTGCGAGCTATGTTGTGTAAGCGGTGCGGTGTGGGCTATGTGATGTGACCTGTATGTTGCGAGTTATGTTGTGTAAACTAGATGGTGCGAGCTACGTGGTGAAATCTAAACCATATCATCTGCGTGATGTAATCCCTGCTGTGTAAAGTGTATAGTTTGAGCCATGTGGGACGCGCCATGCGTTACAACCAACGCGATGCACCACGAGGCGCCCACGACCTTCTGGAGGCCCACCCAGCGAACGGGGCGCCCACGAGCGCCAACGCGGCGAATCTTTTGGAGGCCCACCCAGCGAACGGGGCGCCCACGAGCGGGCAACAGCGCCCACGCGCGAATCCTCGGGAAAACCACCCAGCGAAAACCCAAGAGACCCGGCCAATCATTCAAGGGAGGTGGCAATGTGGAAACATGTTTTTGGATAATTGTGTTGTTTGGGGTCCTTCGCGGGCCAGCGCATCGGTGTTGGACCAGAGCGCTGCCAACTTGCAGCAGTACGTCGACGACCCGATCCTCGTCGCCGCTGGGCCCAAGCCTGCCTGGGACCTCATATTTGGCCGCGCACTTTTGCTGTGGACCGCCCTCTGGCTGCAGCTGCGGTGCCAGGAGGGCAGACGCCGAGTGGATTGGCGCATCCGCCACCGCTGGCTCGCAGGCCCGCCACGTCGTCCTCATGGTCCTGGAGGCGCAGTGGCTGGAGGAGGAGTTGTCGTGCTGGGTCGAGACACTGAGCAAGTGAGCGCCGTGCGAGGAAGGCAGCCCAATTTTAGTCAGCCTGTGCATTTTGTGCGGTCTCGCTCCCCTCCTCTGTTCGGCCACACTTCCGTGCCCATGCAGGCCCGCCCGACCGACTGAGCGTGCCAGCAGCAGCAGCTCACCAGAGCCCCCTCGACCCAGCCGCCCCGCATCGTGTATCCAGCCCGACGATGATGCTGAGATGGACGCAGCTAGAGCACTAGGATTGGAATGAACTCAGGTATTTTAGAATTGCAGTCTCCGCTTAGGCCGCCTGGCGCCGCTTGAGCGTGATGGAGCACGCCGCACGTTGCGAGCTTTAGGGGAGCCCCCCTAGCCACAGGCTTACCAGCAGATGGTACTAGCGACAGCAGATCCTCTTTTTTCTGTCCACCAGAGTGCTGACCAGTTCCAGAGCCTAGATGTGGTCGTATATATAATAAACTGGAGGCGCAGCGCTGGAGCTACAGCAGGTTGTGGACCAACTTGCTTGCATGCGGGAGTTACCCCCGCTCGGCGTGCGTCGTCTCACGGGGCGTGCTTCCTGGATCGCAGGGTTCCTCCCTCAGTTCCAGCTGTTTGCGCAGCAGCTCTGGACAGCCTTGAGCGCGGCGCCGTCAGCATGCGCACTGGCTGGAGACAGGATGCACGGGCCCTATACCCGATTAGCTTTACTGGCTGGTTTCCCTGGGTCGCTGAGGCAGCGGATCCGGTCCTGTAATTCTGATGCGCCGACTGCAGGTGTAGGGGCATTGATAATGCCGAGGTCGTCGTCGTCGTCGTCCCAGTTCTCCTGTTCCTTCCTGACATGTTACTTTCTCCTTCTCATCGCCCTTCTCCCCCTTTCCCTGTTCCCCCTCTACGTCCTCAGAATCCTCATCATCGTTATCCTCGCCCTTTGGTGCCGTCTGCATGCCTTCGCGCTCATGCCCAAACAGTCGACGCCAAGCTCCTCATAATATGGCGTGCCCCTCTAAGGAGAGCTTCAGCAGAACGCTACACGTGCAGGTCGGCAGCGGCACCAGCCCAAGTATTCGGACACTTTCAATAATGAGGAAGGCGCGTGCGTTTGCCCAGAGGTCTCCAGATTTCATTTACTCAAGCTAAATTCGACGCGCAAGATGCAATCTCGCAAGTGTGCGAAAGCACCCGGGAAAACATCATGCTCTGCAGTTGCCACCATTGTTTTTTTGTTCAGACAGACATAAGCATTGCGTTGGCAGGAGATTGTCGGATACAGCCAAACGCCGTAACCCGAGGGCCGGCGACACTCAAAGCACAGAGGTGTGGCCAAAAGCCATATCTTAAGACGGCAACGGTGGATGAAAACGAAAAATGAAGATGTTATTGTTGCTCAAACATGTTGCGACAAAGTCTCAATTGGAGATGCCCAGTCTTGTCTCGATCGTCAGCGCCTGCGCTTGCGAGCCCAATTGTTCGGCGACCCATCGTCATCGCAAACAGTCCGATTTACCAATGCAGTAGGTCCATGTGCAGCCATTGGCTTGTACAAGTTCATTTGTCTCCCGGCCCAAACTTGCGAAAGTGGTTTCGCCCCGGCTGTCGAGAAAGTTTGCGTTGTTGATGAACGGTTGTGGAATTTCAAGATTTCGCTACTGCCCTTCGGGGGAAGGCAAAGCTGAGCTGTGCAAGCTTCGTGCACGCAAGCGGTGAGCAGTGGTGTAACCCCTCAGCTCCATACAATAGCTCAGGCTCGCCGAGCCCCCGTCGTAACACGAAGGCCCATGTGCAACATACACTTGTAATTATATGCCTCGCTCGGTCAGTCGAGCAGTCACTATCCCCCACGAGTTCACAACGAGGCCCACGTCCTCCGCAAGGCTGGCAATCAACAGGTTCACATCGAGTACAGACCCAGAGCAAATTCTTTCGACCCCGTCGAGGCTTGCCGCAGCTGAATGTCGGAGCACTTCGGTGCCCCCCCAGGGCGGTATCCGAGATTGCGTCTTGGGAGAGTGTGGGACAGGAGGGAAAAAGCAAATCCTCTTGTGCTGGGCCGCACGTGAGTTTCGGAGGGCACGTGAAAAAAGCGGGAAATTGGTTGTCCCCAGTCCGTTTTTGTGTTTCTTTTCGCGATCGTGTGTTTGTCTTTTGCCATTGGCCCGCGTTTGCATCCTTGCCATGTGACCAAGCCAATTGTCAATCGACCGACGCGCCCAGGTTGTATTTGTTTGAACAAGTTCTATAGCGTTCCTCCTACCGTGCAATCCGCACGTGCATCAAGAGCACGCTTTCCAGTGGGTGTTCTTGGGAACGTGCGCTTGTTGCGAACATGCCAAGGCGATAGATGATTGTACATTCGTAGTGTCTGCTGTTCACCGCCAATTGCGATGCCACCTCACCTTTACAGCACCAGTTTCATACGGCGTGGCTAACATCTTTCACGTTCCTCCATTTGCCAGGTGGACGCTCTTGTCGAAGGGAAGTGAGCGATGGAGCTGGCTAGATGCAAAGCGTCACTGAACGGCGCCGAAGATCGGTGAGCCCTTGCAGCTGAAGGAGTGCGAGAACAGTGCGAGTATAGGCGTAAGAGCGAAACTAAGGGTGAGCTGGAGTGCGAATGAGAGTGAAAGTGGATTTCAGGACGGGGTTTTGAGCAATCATACAAATCGGTCAGGGAGTAGAAGCCGCCATTGAGAGCGGGAGTGAGGGCGAGAGTGAAGACAAGGTAACGAACGAAACGTATGTTGATGATAGTGGTACTGAACAGAGGAGCGAAGGTAAGAGTAATATGGGGAGGCTGTGTGAGAATGAAACCGTGAGCAATCCGAGTGCGAGTCGTGGCCATAACGACAGTGATACTTGGAGCGGCAGTTTGGCTAGAAACGATTATGTGGACGGACGCGATAGCGAAAGCCAAAGTCAGAGCGAGAGCGGGAGCGAGAGTGGGCTTGAGAGAGGAAGTTGATTGCAAGAGAGGGGTGAGATAACGGGAACGACTAGTATTGAGAGCACGAGCAAGCACGATTGTAAGTGGCAGTTGGAGTGGAAGTGCAGATGAGTGAGTGAGCGTGCGAGGTGCCAGCATTAGTATCTGTTTAGAACGAGACGCGTAAGGTTTGATTGACGCAGTGGACGTGGTAGCGAAGGCTAGGATGCACTCAAGAGAATGGGTATGTTAGCGATAGTGAGCGTGAATGTTGGGATGGCGTTTAAAGTGTTAAGGGTCCGCGCATCCCCGACAGCCCATTCAGAAACGATATCCAGACAAAAGTGGGAAGAATCAAACCAAAGGCGCGTTGGCGCCAATTTTGTGCAGTAAGGCCTGGGATCACAACACGCTGAGCCCCGATGGGGGGCACTTCAAGGTCCTTGGTGTCGCCCCCTTCCAGGCTCAAAGACATTCCAGATCTTCCTGCAGGATGGCCAGCACTCAAGTTAGCTGAATAGTTTGTTGGTGGGATTCTTGACGGATTGTAGGAGGGTTCGTGGTTGGGGCGCGGGCCGCCCTAGCTGCCTTTTCAGACGACAGCCCGCCCGCCTTGGCGGCATAACTTGCTGGAGCAGCTTTCCTTTGTTAAAATTGACTGTTGGAACCCGCGCCGTGGGCTGTTGGAACCACTGTCCCGTGCGAAATGTTTTGACGCTTCGCGTAGGCTCGTTTTTTCTGACCCTGGTTCGTTTTCTCGTTTTCTCTGCCCCTGGGCCGTGGTCTCGTTTTCTCGGACCCTGCTTCGCTTCCTCGTTCTCTCAGCTCCTGGGTCGTGGTCTCGTTTTCTCTGACCCTGGGTCGTCGTCGTCGTCGGTCGTCGGTCGTGCGTCGTCCGTCGTCCGTCGCCGTCTTCGTATGAGCTCGTCCTCGTCGTGACGACCACGACGAGGTCATACGAAGACGGCGACAATGACGGCGACGGCGGCGACGACGACGACGAGGACGACGACGGCGTCGTACGAAGACGTCGAGCGACGGCGACGGCAACGACGACGGCGACGGGGGAGGATCGTCCGGCAGAGGGAGTTCAAGCGAGGGGGGTAGCTAAGCCGCCCCTCTCCTTTTGAAAAGGGAGGGAGGGGAGGGGAGCTTCCGGCAGGGGGGAGAAAAATGGAGGGAAGAGGGGGGGCTTCCGGCAGAGGGGGGTCAAAGGAGGGGGGGGTAGCTAAGTTCCCCTCCCCTTTCGTAAGGGGGGGAGGGGGGAAGCTTCCCGGGTGCCGAAAAGAGGGGAGGGGTGGGGGGCTGCTAAGCCCCCCCCTCCTGTGGAACCAAAGGGGGAAAGGGGGGTAGCTTCCGGCAGAGGGGGGTCAAGGGTTAGGGGGGGGTAGCTAAGCCCCCTCTCCCGTTGGAAAGGGGGGGGGGTAGCTTCGGAGTGGCGAAAGGGGGGGGAGGGGGGTAGCTTCAGGGGGGAGGCGAAAAAGGGGGGGAGGGGGGGGGAGGGGGGCGGGGAGCTTCCAGGAGGTGGAAGGCAGGGGGGGGTAGCTAAGGGGGACCCCCCCCTTTTGCTCCGGCGCTGTGGGCGCGCTCTCTCGAAGATGGCTCCAAGACGGCCTCTGGGAGCCCCCACGACGGCCCAAGAGTTCCCCAAGAGGACTCCCAAGAGCGCCTCCAAAGCAAAAATTGCCCCATTCCTTTTGAAAAGCGTAGATTTTTTACATTGTTCACCGCTTCGGCGTCGACCGCGTGGAAGACGGCCCCAGGAGCCGACCAGATCGCCCCAAGACGGCCAAAGAGAGTTCCAAGAGGCCTTCCAAGACGGCCAAAAAGGGGCCCTCGACTATCCAGGGGGCCCCCTAGACGGTCCCAGAGGGCCCTGGGAAGAGCTTCCCCACACAGCCCCGAGGGGTACCCCAGCCGACATTTCGAGCCACCCTCCTCAAAAAGCAGCCCGGAGACCAAGAAACCTCCAAGAGCCCTTGGACAAAAAACCCAAGCGGGCCCCACGGGGCAGCCAGGAAGCCCCAAGAGGCTCCCAAGAGCCCTCTCCCCTGACGCCTTGAGGTACTCTGGCCCATCCCGAAGCTTCTGGACAACTCTCGGCATCCTGACGC